GTTTTTAGTCGTTTCTTGAAAATAGCGAGTGACTCTGCTGTTCTGATGCAGTTAGGGAGTTCATTCCACCAACTGGGCAGATTGAGCGTGAGCGTTCGCGAAAGTGATTTTTTCCCTCTTTGGGATGGAAGCACGAGGCGACGTTCATTCACAGAACGCAAGTTTCTGGAGGGCACATAGATCTGCAGAAGTGAGTGCAGATAAGAAGGTGCTAGGCCAGAAGTCACTTTGTAGGCAAACATCAGAGTTTTGAATTTGATGCGAGCAGCAACTGGCAGCCAGTGCAAACGGACTAGCAGCGGAGTGACATGTGCTCGTTTAGGTTCATTGAAGACAACCCGTGCTGCTGCATTCTGGAGCAGTTGAAGAGGCTTGATAGAGTTAGCTGGAAGCCCAGCTAGTAGAGAGTTGCAGTAATCCAGTTTGGAGAGAACAAGAGCTTGAACAAGGAGTTGAGCTGCATGTTCAGATAAGAAGGGTCGGATCTTTCTGATGTTATAGAGTGCAAATCTGCACGATCGAGCAGTTCTAGAAATGTGGTCAGAGAAGTTTAGTTGGTCATCAATCGTTACTCCAAGGCTTTTCACCATTTTGGATGCAGTAATGGTTGCCCCATCCATCTGGATTGAAAAGTTATGGTGTAGAGTCGGGTTGGCAGAAACTACAAGCATTTCCGTTTTTGCGAGGTTCAGCTGAAGATGATGATCTTTCATCCAGTGTGAAATATCCAACAGGCAGGCTGAGATACGAGCTGGAACGGAGGGATCATCAGGATGAAAAGAGAGGTATAGCTGGGTGTCATCAGCATAGCAGTGGTAGGAGAATCCATGTCTCTGGATGACTGGTCCTAGAGATGATGTGTAGATGGAGAAGAGAAGTGGCCCAAGAACAGAGCCTTGAGGTACCCCAGTGTTTAGATGCTGTAGGTTGGACACCTCTCCCTTCCAAGACACCCTGAATGACCTGTCAGAGAGGTAAGATCTGAACCATTGTATAACAGTGCCCGCAACGCCCAGTGACTCGAGCGTAGATAGCAGGATCTGGTGGTTGACAGTGTCAAAAGCAGCTGACAAGTCCAGCAAAATAAGGACTGATGATTTAGAGTCTGCTTTAGCCAGTCTGAGATCCTCCACGACCGAGAGCAGGGCAGTCTCAGTTGAGTGGCCTTTCTTAAAGCCGGATTGCTTGTTGTCCATGAGATTGTTTTGAGTAAGAAAGTCCAGGACTTGATTGAACACTACTTTCTCCAGAATCTTGGCCATGAATGGAAGCAGGGATACTGGTCTGTAGTTTTCAAGTAGCGTATGGTCCAGGTTGGGTTTCTTTAGCAGTGGGGTTACCCTAGCCTGCTTAAATGTAGTGGGGAATAAACCAGAGTCAAGAGATGTGTAAATTATGTGAGTCAGTGTTGGTATGACTGCAGGAGAGATGGCTTGCAAGAGATGAGAGGGAATGGGATCGAGTGGACAGGTGGTTGCATGGCTAGATAGCACAAGTTTGGACACCTCAGACTCAATATATATATATAGCTAATGTATCAAATAAACATTGACTTTCGTCGTTTCTTTGCCTACTTTCATTTAAAATTTAAATGAAAAATGGGTCGGGTGTTATAGTACACCACTTTTTTTTAGGACTACACCACTGGTGCAAACGCTGAAGATGTTTATTTTCTATTAGATAGTTTAGAGGGTAAATTTCAGCTAGCTTTGGGGTTTTTGTTCTATTGTTATACAGTAACTGATCTATTTTCTTTTGTGAGATTCCAACTTGTAGATAATATTTAGCTGTTTGACTTTTCACTTTTGAAAATAAATTCCTTTACTTCACTTCAAATTTTCCTCTTTAACCCCTAAAGATAAACTTTAAAGTCATAACACTAATAAACAGCAAATATCTTAATAATAAGTGGGTAATTAGCCAGTTGTTAATAGCGGCAGCTGGTACTTAAACTAAAGTGTTTAGTTAAGCATATTAAAACCCACTCAAAAAATAATCACAATTTATTTAAATGTACAATTCATGCTATAAACAAACCATTGACTAGGACTTTCAGCTCAATATATGACTAATTAGCAGCTTATTAATAATCAGTAATGTAGACTTGCACAATATGCACCACTTCTCAAAAATGATAGAGCACTACACTTTTTTTGTTGAAAATAAGCTCATTTTACAACTCGTCTAGAGTTAAACTGTTGAATTGTACCATTTTTAAAATCAATTAAATCAAAATTTTTGCTTGGCAGGAGCAATTTTAGCTTAGCTTGGCATACATCATTGAATCAGATTAGACCGTTAGCAAATTGCTCCCGTTAGACCCTTTTATTGCCTGAATATATCCAAAAATAGTAAAAATCTATGTTTTTTTAAGACATTTTTATAAACAATTCTACCAATAACACAAATATTGGTTTTATTTTAAAATACAATTCTCCCTATTAATAAACTATTACCTAAGAGGTTAGCTCAATAAACTACTAATTAACAGCTTATTAATAATTAGTAAGGTAGTAGTTGTGTTTTTGTACAGTATTGGGTAGGGTTAGTGATGTAGAATAAGATCATACTTTATCCAACACCATCATCAAATTTGCAGATGACACCACAGTGATTGGTCTAATCAGCAACAATGATGAGACGGCCTACAGGGAGGAGATACAGCATCTGGACACTTGGTGCACTGACAATAATCTGCTCCTTAACACCAACAAGACCAAGGAGCTCATTGTGGACTTCAGAAAGGGACGAACAGGCTCACATGATCCCGTCCACATCAATGGGATGGCCGTTGAGCCTGTCTCATCCTTTAAGTTCCTGGGGACCCACATCTCAAAGGACCTTTCCTGGTCCACCAACACCTCCAGCCTGATCAAGAAGGCTCACCAGCACCTATTCTTCTTAAGGCAACTGAAGAAGAACCAGCTTTCATCAGCCGTCTTGGAGAACTTCTACCGCTGCACAATAGAGAGCATCCTGACAAACTGTGTCACAGTCTGGTATGGAAGCTGCTCTATTGCTGAGCGTAAGGAACTGCAGCGGGTGGTGAAAACTGCCCAACGCATCACAGGGACCACACTGCCAGCCATAGAGGACATCCAGAAGAAACACTGTTTGCGCCGAGCACGCAGTATTCTGAAGGACACCTTTCACCCCGCTCACAGACAGTTTCCTCTTCTGCCCTCCGACAGGCGCTTCAGGCTCCCCCGGACAAAAACCAGCAGACTGAGGAACAGCTTTTCCCCCAGAGCTGTCTCCCTCCTGAACTCTGCCCCCCACTGACACTTTTGCCCCCCCAATACACCCCCCACTCTCCTCTAACTTAAACTCCTCGCAATAACTGCACTGTTTAACATTTGCACGTTTAAAATTTGCACATTCACTGCACCACATTGAACTGTTTACTTATTGAACTGTGCATACCCACTGCATATGTGCATTTGTAATTATGTACACACCCACTATACATATACACTTGTAATCATGCTTATTTATCTGCATACTACTGATTATTAATAGCAACCTGTACATATATTCATATATTGTAACATATACACTTGTAATCATGTTTATCTATCACTGTACATATATTCAGATATTGTAACATATACACTTGTAATCATGTTTATCTATCTGCACACTACTAATTATTAATAGCAACCTGCACATATATTCATATATTGTAAATCTGTTCATAGCTCATCCAACCTGTATATAATGTTCATAGTACATCCATCTGTAAATATCACCATAGTTTTCTATAACTGCACTTTATAACTTATTCCTGTATCCTGCACTTGCTGCTATTGCACTGCTGGTTAGACTTAAACTGCATTTCGTTGCATTGTACTTGTACATGTGTAATGACAATAAAGTAGAATCTAATCTAATCTAATCTAAAATAAGTGCTAATAAACAGTTAATATCTTAATAATAGGCTGGTAAAATGGTGTGAATTGATAGACTTGAACTAACGTGTACCGAAAATATAAAATATAAACAAATTCTGTGCTAAATCATTTAATTTGCCAAATCCCTTCCATCAACAACTTTATATATGAATATTTTAACATTTATCTACCTATGCCAGTACCTACACCTGTGCCTACATACCCAAGACATTCATAGGTACGTTATTCAGAAAGTTTAAACAATGTGGTACAAACCAAACTACTCTGGAGTCTGGTAACATTAACCAATGACGTGTGTTTGGGTCACATTTTACCTTTAAAAAATAAATCATGAACAACTGTTGCTGGAAACGTCGTTTCACACCACCACAGACCAAAGGTGTTCTGGGTGGTTGACAAGTTTATGCTCTGCGGTTGGTAAAGTATTACGTGTAGGTTTCTATATGTTGTTTGGACCTTCAAGGTGGTTGTAAGGTGGCTATAAAACAGCACCACCAAGTTGCTATGATACTCTGGTTCTTAGATAAGGTCTAAATTTTATTATAATACAATCTGAGGCTGGCGTCACAGTGGCGCAATGGATAGCATTATCGCCTCACAGCAAGAAGATTGTTGGTTCAAGCCCCAGCTGGGTCAGCTGGCATTTCTGTGTGGAGTTTCCCCGTGTTCACGTGGGTTTCCTCCGTGTGCTCTGGTTTCCCCCACAGTTCAAAGACATGCGCTATAGGTGAATTGAATAAGCTAAATTGGCCTTAGCCTATGTGTGTGAATGCAAGAGTGTATGGGTGTTTTCCAGTGTTGGGTTAGGGTTAGAAGGGCATCCGCTGCCTAAAACATATGCTGGATAAGTTGGCGGTTCATTCCACTGTGGCGACCCTTGATTAATAAAGGTCAAAAAAGAAAATGGATGAATGAATGAACAATCTTAAGCCGAGTAAGAGCTACATGATTTTGTTTGTAAATGATTATGATGGACATCTTGCCCAAAATGACAAGATAACTAATCCGTGATGGATTATAACATTGTAGTTTAGCACTGAGCCACAAAACCACATTAAAAAGCACACAACTGTTTAACTTTTGAGATACCTGTGGTCCTATTGGTCCAGTAAAACCTGCTGGTCCAGACAAGCCTCGCTCACCCTGTCAAAGTAAAAGTTATACATACAGTAGTCAGCAATTGAAATTAATCCAAAAATTTGTCCTAAAACAACCTAGTTTAAAAAAAAATTACCATAGTAATTTTTAGTAAATGGCTTTTGTACTATAGTAAACTATATAATATTATATTAGTTTATAATATTATAAATGTATTTGTTTAGTATACATATTTTCAACTCTTTGAATGCAATTGTAGTATAAACTATACTGAAGTGACAAACTAAAATACGGTAGTAGTTTTTACCACAGTAAACTGTGGTGTATTGCAGTATAATATGCACTATAGTTTTGGAAAACTAAAGTAGTGTGTCATTTGTTTATATTACTACAGTTGTGTTACCATAAATACTACAGAATCAGTACAACAGATCAATTCAAGTACTTGTCTGTAGTATTGCATCGTTTTACTATAAATTAGTATTGTATTTTTTACAGTGGAAAGAATAAATATTGTTCAAAACACATTTTTGTATTAGAAAGGTTTGATTAAATGCTTTAATTCACTTCAGATGTTGACTAGAGTATATAACATAGCATATAAAAGAACTAACTATATAAAAGACTCCAAATTGAAAATTCTCAATTTATCAGGATTTACTTAGTTTATTACACATGTGTCAAACTCAGTTCCTGGAGTCCATAACTCTGCACAGTTTAGTTCCGACCCTGATTAAACAAACCTGATCAAACCAATTGAATGCTTTAGACTTGTTTTCACATAGTTAGTTAGCTAGATGCTTCTGGGGAGTTAGATTTAGTTTGGGTTTTGTTCTTTTCATTTCTTTAGCGCCGCCCGCGTCCCTTCTGCCAGCTCTCTTGTTTTTCCCGTCTTTATTTGTCTCAGTGTTGTACATATTATAAATAGTATATTTTTGCCTTACTTACTTTTTCTTTATTTTTGATTAATTCGTTGTTGTTGTTCACTTTGGGATTGTAAATAAAAGCACACATTTTTTGGCATTACGTTGGTTGTCTTTCCACTCATTCACTGTTTATATAAATATATTTTAATTAAATAAATGTCAAACCCCACAACCCTCGACTAACATCAGGGCTTTGTAACAGATGCCTACAGATAATTGTGTTGAAGCAGGGCAGAAACTAAACTGTGCAGAGCTGCGGCCCTCCAGAGTTTGACACCCCTGGATTATTAGATATGGATTTGAGTAAAATGCTAATGTTTGTTTCATTCTAAATGTATAAGAGCAATTCATCCCAAATTCAATTACAAATATTATCATGTAGAAAGTTGAAAACTGATCATTTTCTGCTAGTTTTTTTAATGGTATTGCAATTAAAGACATCCTGTACATAATTATTAAGCAATATTAACAGCAATTGTATGTATACTTAATATTTTCAGTTATATTTTGGGTTCTTACTTGAGCTCCAGCAGGCCCCATCTCTCCAGGAAGCCCTCGTATACCCTAAAACCACAAACACACACTTTAAGTACAGTTTTGAATCCCATAATACTTTCCCGATTGCACAAAATAAAACGTCAAATTACCATCAAATATCAACAATGTCTTGTCAGTTTTTAACTTTTTGATCTAGTGGCAAACTTGTTAAAATTTGTACACTTTAAAACCCATAAAGTTAAGGTAACTCAAACCATTTAAGTTCAAAAATTAATCCTAATGAGTACTGTGAACTTACCCATTTGCAAAAACAAGTTGAGTACAGTAAAATCCAATGAATGAAGAGAACTCAAACCAACTGAGTACTGTAAAACCCAGTGGACCAAACTGTTTCAGGAAACCGATTGCAACAAACCATTTGAGTTAAAAAAAAAACCTTATCTATATGAGTACAGTGAACTCACTCCATTTAAGTTGAAGTAATGAGGTATTTAATTAACTCATTACCTTTAACACTGAGTTCAAAACTCTTTTCAAATGAGTAGAGTTAACTTTCAGTCAATTCTGAGTTAACTACCCTCATTTCATTTGATAAAGTTGACTGCTGGGTTTTACAGTGTACGATCTCATTTGTACATTTTAGTATGATTTGCTTATCCCTCAATGACGGTGTCACGGATGTACATGTGTGCGCACTTCTTGTGCTGTCTGTGTTGTTGTCACGCGCTTATGTTTTGCCTTCTACACGTGCGTTGTTGTGGCGTGTCAGCATTATTGCGGTTACGTGGTTTATCAGCTGTTCTGATTAGCCGCCCAGCTGTGGTTAATTACCACAGACATATCTGACCGCCAGTCCTTTGTTACATTGTCAGTTTGTTATTGTTTGTTCTTGCTCTGAATATCTGGTCTGTTTGACTAGTTATCGGCTGACCTCATGGCTCACGTTTTGCCATGTCTTGTGATCTTTTGTTTACACTGTTTTTGGACTCTATTGCTCTATCATTTTTAACCGCCACTCAATAAACACACTTGCATCTTGGATTCATCTCAGTTGTTTTGTTATTTTCGTGAGCGTGACAGATGTTTGGGTTTAGGGGTGGGGTTTGGTGCCATGCCTACTTAAAAAAAGCTTACTTTTTCATTAGACTGAACTCGTTAATTGAATTAGCCACTAAACTGACTAAACATACAAAACACTGCATCTGGATGAATCGTCGACCCAGTCTGAGGTCAAGAGCACTCTGAAGCAGGTTTTCATTCAGGATGTCTCTGTACATTGCATTCATCTTTTCCTCTATCTTAACTAGTCTTCCAGTTTCTGCTGGTGAAAAAAATCCCCACAACATAATGCCGCCACCACCATGCTTCACTGTTGGTATGCTATTAGCCTGGTGATGAACGGTGCCTTTTTTTCTCCAAACGTAATGCCTGGCATTTAGTTCAAAGAGTTCAATTTGAGTCTCATCAGACCAGAGAATAGTTTCTTTTTTTCTGAGAGTCCTTCAGATGTCTTTTGGCAAATTCCAGGCAAGGAGTGGCTTCCGTCTGGCCACTCTACCATACAGGCCTGATTGATGGATTGCTGTACAGATGGTTGTCCTCCTGTAAGGTTCTCCTCTCTCCACAGAAGAACGCTGGAGCTCAGACAGAGTGACCATCGGGTTATTGATCACCTTCCTGACTAAGGCCCCTGCTCACTCATCTTACACTGAAAAAAATGATGTCTGCAAAACTGTTGCAAACAATTTAGTTGTGTTGAATTTAAACAAACAAATTTAATTTAATTTGTTTTTTTAAATTCAGCCCTTAACGTAAAAAAATTAGTAAATCAAAGGAGTCATCTCTGAATAATTTTTTTCAGTGTAGATGGCCGGCCAGCTTTAGGAAGAGTCCTGGATGTTCAAACATCTTCAACTTACGGATGATGGAGGCCACTGTGGTCATTGGAACTTTCAGAGCAGCAGAAATGATTCTGTAACCTTCCCCAGCCTTGTGCCTTGAGACAATCCTGTCTCGTAGGTATACAGACAATTCCTTTGTCTTCATGCTTGGTTTGTGCTTTGACATGCACTGTCAACCCTGGCACCTTATATAGCAACCCGGGCTCATTGTGGAAACGTCCCGGGAGGTACGTATTCGAGCGTTTTTTTTTGTTTTCACAGATCCGCGAGAGGCCGCTGTGCGCACTTTTTCGCGTCTGGGGCGGGCGCCTCTTGGGACCGCGTGCCGTTCGCGCCCGAGCCGTTCTCGCGCGAATAGCCGCCGGATCAGAAAAAAAAAAAAGCAAAAGCCCCCGTCTTCGATTTCGACCGCGTTTTCGGATCCCGCCGCGTTCTCGCCCTTATTTTCCGGATTCCGTTTTTCGTCTTACCTGATTTCCGGAACTCGCCGTTCCCCGGACTCGATCCCGGTCCACCGCGGCCGGCTCCGGCTCGTCCTCCTCCTCCGGGGCCTCCGCTCCACCGACGCAACGCTGTGAGCTAGGCGGACGAACTGATTGCGTCGGGAAAGCCCTCCACTCGGAGGCGAGCCGTCGGCCGGCGAGCGCGAAAAGGAGGGCCGGAGCGGCGCCACACCGCCCCGCGGCGTTCGCTCGAAAAAAACCAAACGCGGCCTTTACGTACCTCTGGCCACGTAAATCGCGGTCTCCAGAAACGTTCGCGGGGCTACGTTTCCTCATCAATCATGTCCAATCAACTGAATTGACCACAGGTGAACTCCAATGAAGCTGCTGAAACATCTGAAGAATGATCAGTGGAAACTGAATGTACCTGAGTTCAATTTAGAGCTTCACAACAAAGGCTGTGAATACTGATGTACATGTGATTTTTCAGGTTTTTTATTTTTAATAATTAATCTTTTTTCACATTGTCATTATCGGGTATTGTGTGCAGAGTTTCGAGGAAATGGATGAATTTAATCCATTTTGGAATATAACTGTAACATAGAAAAATGTGGCAAAAGTGAGGCGCTATATGAATACTTTCCGGATGCACTGTAGTTACATTTCCTTGTGAGATCAGGCTGAAATACACATTAACAAAGGGTCCTCTATTAAACACTGCACATTTAACAACCTCTATTGCCTGTTTACATACCATTGGTGCCTTTCTGTACTATTGCCAAGCCACACGGTTACCATCCATTGAACTGGGAAGCGCCTATTCTTTCATTATGGTTAACACAAGTTTTACGATGAAAGATAAGAGCGAGGCATAAATCAGCACACCTACAACCATCAACAGCTGACAGCTCCCATTTCCTAACCAGAAGCTTTCAGAAATCCCAGAATGTTTTGTAAATTTTCCTTTCAAATGAGCCAGTTTCATTGGCCACAAACAGGAAGCGCAGTCTAAACAACTTGTGAAATGAAGGAGGGTAAAACTGTTCAATCAAACAGCAGACGTTTCCGCACATGTAGAGGCTGCGGTTGCAGACATGAAAGAGCGCACAGAGAAACCAGGAGAGGATTTATTGACATTAAGCAATCGGTTACTAGAAATATCTCTTTCTCCACCTGCTGTGTGTGTGTGTGCAGTTCTGCCAAACACATCGTTTTTGCGGGGAAGAAAGAGGAATGAGAACATTTGGAGGTTCACCACAACCTCAGAAAGAAGGAGTGGTGTATTAACCGTTCTATTAATCACATCAGGATAGACAGACAGACACCTAAAACTTTCCACTGCTCTCGGCATCAGGGATAATGTGCTTGCCAAAACTTTTCCCCAAAAGGGAGCACTTACTATGCTAATATATCAAACTAAGCCAAGGATATCTAAATATTTACACTGAGGCCTAAACCACATCACTTCAAGTCATTGGAGGAAATGAGAATGAAACTTGACTATGGTGGAAGCATAAACAATCTCACTTCAATTTAGCTTTGGATCAAAACCATCTACAAATACTCCACCATGCTGAAATATACACTCGCCGGCCACTTTATTAGGTACACCTTACTAGAATCGGGTTGGACCCCCTTTTGCCTTCAGAACTGCCTTAATCCTTTGTGGCATAGATTCAAGATGGTAACTGAAATATTCCTCAGAGATTTTGGTCCTTTTTGACATGATAGCATTGCGCAGTTGCTGCAGATTTGTTGGCTGCACATCTATGATGTGAGTCTCCTGTTCCATCACATCCCAAAGGTGCTCTATTGGATTGAGAGCTGGTGACTGTTAAGGCCATTTGAGTACAGTGAACTCACTGTCATGTTCAAGAAACTAGTCTGAGATGATTCAAGCTTTATGACATGGCTCATTATCCTGCTGGAAGTAGCTATCAGAAGATGGGCACACTGTGGTCATAAAGGGATGGACATGGTCAGCAACAATACTCAGGTAGGCTGTGGCGTTGACACGATGCTCAATTGCTACTAATAAACCCAAAGTGTGCCAAGAAAATATCCCCCACACCATTACACCAGCCTGAATTATTGATACAAGGCATGATGGATCCATGCTTTCATGTTCATGATGCCAAATTCTGAGCCTACCATCCGAATGTCGCAGCAGAAATCAAGACTCATCAGACCAGGCAACGTTTTTCCAATCTTCTATTGTCCAATTTTGGTGAACCTGTGTGGATTGAAGCCTCAGTTTCCTGTTTTTAGCTGACAGGAGTGGCACCCGGTGTGGTCTTCTGCTGCTGTAGCTCATCTACCTCGACATATTGTGTGTTCAGAGATGCTTTTCTGCATACCCCGGTTGTAGCAAGTGGTTTTTGAGTTACTGTTGCCTTTCTATCAGCTGAAACCAGTCTGGCCATTTTCCTCTGACCTCTGGCATCAACAAGGTATTTGCGTCAACAGAACTGCCGCTCACTGGATATTTTCTCTTTTTCTGACCATTTCTGTAAACCCTAGAGATGATTGAGCGTAAAAATCCCAGGAGATCAGCAGTTACTGACATACTCAGACCAGCCCGTCTGGCAACAACAACCATGCCACGTACCAAGTCACTTTGACTTAACATTTCTTCCCTCATTCTGACACCAAAAGAACTAATCTTGCCTTACGTATATAAAACATTTACATACATGAGTAATCATTAATTACAAACTTCACA